TACTAGGACTAAACAGCACCTGATGGAAGCTCCAAGAATCCACAGAATATTCCAAAGGGAAGCTACAGGTGGGGACTGTGGAAGGCAAAAAGGAACTTTTAGTAAGATTAGTACATTGAAAACTTCCTAATTTAATAAATTCAAGGATAGTATTAACATGTTCTAGAAGGAGTTCAGAGGGTATTCATATCTATGTGAAGAGAGACCATTAGGGGCATAATTATTTAATGTAAATCAGATAGGCAGGACTCCAGAAGTTTTTTGAAAAGAATAATTAGTTTTTTTATAGTGTTCTTCAGGGGCTCTAAAAGCTTAGGTACTTGGTTAGTCTTTTCCATAGGAAGCAATCTTGAAACTGTCCAACAAAACTAAAAACAGTGAGAACAAAGTATGCAATTAGTTGTTTTTACTGTATATAGCATTTAAAGATGATCTAACTTGTGACTAATGGGATTACATTAGTACAATTAGTTTTATTATTTGTTACTATTATCTATCTATCTATATCTAGATATCTATCTAATTTGTCCCTCATCCTGGTCAGAGTCTAGCCGTGATATGGTTTATGTCAAGCAGGAAATAAAATCTTGATATAAAGCTCACTTGGTTCCTGCTGTACACTGATTAAAGTGCTTGTCCCTCAACCCTAACCAGGAAGCCTTTTCCAACATCTCAAGCCTACGATGTTAATCTGCTGATATGTCTGAGGTGTATATCCAGTTTGTGGGCCAATACTGGCATACTCCCATTTTAGTCAACATTTCAAATGTGACAGGCACACCATGTTGTTGATTCCTATTTGACTGTTTTTGGGTTTTCTCAGACCAATCAGATTTCCACAAAAGATAATCTCCTCCCAACAAGCATGCTTTGCCTACTGCTTGCCAATCATCAGGCGTTAAATGCAGGTTGAATAGCAGCCTCTAATACCACCATTGTAGACGGCACCAGGGGACCAGATTGCGTGCAAGCTGTTTTTAATTCTTTTAGAGTTTTAAAGGATATCGGCTCATGCTGACACCGAGTTTGTCCTGGGTTGTCAGGGTGGGGAGCCTCTATAATCAGACATAATTTAAATCCCAAAATGTCCTCTTCTCTATCTGCTGCATAATGCAAAGCTCTCTGGAAGGGAGTTAAAGTGAGGGATGTCCTTTTTCTCTTAGCACTGTTCGATAATGCAAGCTGTTTTTTAAAAATTATTTAATTTCGCTTGTTATTTTTTAATTTGATTCTAGAGAGACAGAGAGAGAAAGGAAGGGAAAGTGAGAAAGCAAGTCGCCAGGTCCAGGACTCAGCTGTGATCAGCCATATGAGAATCCTGTGCCTTTACCCATCATGCCACCTGCTGGCTCCATACAAGTAGGTTTTGAGTGGGAAGCAGAGGGCTCTAGGTCTAAAGGCAGCGACTCCATTCTCCTTCCCCTCTACAGTTGCTTAGGAATCTACAACCTCAAGTCTGCCTGGCTCCAAGACTGTCATTTTCATTACCAGGGATCATCTCTCTAACTATGCCTTTAGTTACAGACTCTGACTTCTTAGGGAGGAGGGAGGAATACCCCTCCAAGGTGTTTTTTAGTAGAGTTACTAAGCCAGCTCTGGGCTCTTTAGAAGAGTTTTGTCTCAAGTACACCTTAATTAAATTTCACAAGGAGAAGGCAAAAACGGGAATCCTGTTAGGACCCTCTGTTGCATATCATTCCCTGATTTGTTCTCCAACCTTGTACCAGGTCTCCTCATTGACTGTTCCCTGCTCCAAAAACTAGGGGCCATGTTTCCTGCACAAAATCCAGGAAATGATGTAACTACTTGATACTAACTTTACCACCCCTAGCTTTTAACATATAAGACAACATTTAGACATACATCTCTCTTTATACTATATGTCCCCGTGTTTTATGCCTGACACTCATCGAATCCACTCCTTCTCTTACTCTATTAGTTCCTTATTTTACTCTTACTTATTTTACTCTATTACCTCATTTTACTCTATTAGTTCCATACCTTACTCTATTATCTCTGGCCAGATTCAAGGAGTGTCCACTTGCCTGACTCTTTGTAGTTTCCCTGTATTCAGGCCCCATGTTCAGGTGCTACCAGCCATGTTCTGCACAGTTAAACAAAGACATGCTCTGAGCAGGGGCAACCATGGATTTGAAAATAAACATAAAAATAAGCACACAAATACATAAAGAGAAAAGAAGGGATCAGGTGGTCCTGACTCTTCTGACGGAGGCAACGGGGTGGCCCTGACCCAGTTCCAACTTTATTCTTTTAAAGGGCAGAAAATGGGGGAAGGAGAAGTGGAATGCAAAGTCAGTTGTTTTCAGATGTTAATCGGCTGAAGATGTGAAGACACCTGGCGCCATGTAGTTCTATATAAGTTTTCTCTAATCTTCTCGAACCACTTCTGATTAACACATGTGGCTTCCTTTAACCTGATAGTGCCTTGCAGTTTCAGAAAAAGAGGCAACTAACATATTCACATGTTAATGCGTTCATTGCCTTGCCTTTGACTGCCCACAGAACCACGTTTCTGCATTGTCTAAAGGTCACCATGTCTGCTCAGATTTGAGTCTCTTCCTACAGTATGCACTTGCAGTGAGAGACAGAGAAAGAGGGAGAAATGTGGGGCCTTATCACATCACAATCCCTTCCCTTCCATTTCTCCATCCTGTTGGGATTTGGGACATGTACACACACATGCCTGATTTTTTCAAGCTGCCAGGCCCAGGATTTGAACTGTATAGGACCTGGCTCCCTAACCAGTATACTATAGGGCTGGCCCCACAGTTCTTCACATATGGATATCCAATTGTTCCGATACTGTATGTTGGAAAAATCTTTCTCTGTTGAATTGCCCTTGAACTGTTGTCAATAAAGTTGTCCCATTACTTTTATCAGTCTATTTCTAAACTATTTTGTTGTGCATCAATATTCATTAGGGAAATGCAAATTAAATCACAATTGGATAGCATTTCATACCTATCAGGATGCTTATGATCAAAAAGACAGGCAACAATATGTTTTGTCAAGAAAGTGGAGAATTTAAGAATGATTAGCATATTGCTGGTGGGAATGACCCTTGGACAAGTTTACAAGTTCCTCAAAAAGTTAAATGTAAAATTAAGCACATGACCCAGCAATTCCAGCCCTACATAGATGATCAAGAAAACTAAAAACATACATATATCCCAAAAGTGAAAGCAACCCACATGTCTATGAACTGAAAGATAAAATGTGTTACGGATCATTCAACCACAAAAGGAATGAAATTCAGATAAACGCTACAACACAGAGCGTGAAGAGATTATACTAAGAGAAGAAAATCAGATACAAAAGCCACATACTGTATGATTCCTTTTATAATGAAATGTTCAGAACAGGCACATTCAGACAGACAGAAACTAGTGATTGCCAAGGGTAGAAGGGAAGGAAAGGAGAGTGACCATTAGTAGGTATAGGTTTGCTACTTATTTTTTTTAGGTGATGAAATGTTCTAGATTTAGATATAGTGATAGTTGTACAACTCTGAATATATTATAAAACACTGAACAGAAGACAGAAAGGGATGAACTTCATGGTATGTGAATTATACCTCAATTTTTTTTTAAAGTTCAAAATGTTAATGGTAAAGCTGGAATATTACTTTCATTACTCACTGTCTTAGTCTATTGTGTTGCTTACAGAAAGACCTGAGACTAGGTGATTTGTAAAGGATAAAGGTTTAATTTGACTCAGCGTTCTGGTAGCTACAAAGTTTAAAGGCATGGGTCAGTATCACAACAAGAAGGATGGGGGCAGAGAGGATGGCAAGTATGAGCAGAAAGACATGTAGGAACAGCCATCTCCCTTTTATAACAATCTGCTACCATGGGAACTAACCCCTTCTCAGCAGAGCTAGAACTCACTGGGTCTTGTGAGACATCATCAATCTATTCCTGAGAACAATGCCTCCACGATATGATCACTGGCCACCAGGATTTATATCACCTCTTAACAGTCTCACCACCTCCCAACGCCATTACCCTGGGGACCAAATTCCAAAACATGAACCTTTGGAGAACAAACTGTAATATGCAGTCAACCTATAAGGTTGGGTTCCACCATGTCAAGCTGTTAATTATAAGGAGAACTGCCAAATTTACATCAGGTTAGTTTAATATGTTAGAGTATCATGCTAAGGAGTTCAAGGTTCTATGTAACACAGATCTATGGCATCAATTATGTAGAGATAGTTAATTTTATACCCTAATGAGCAATGATAATTGGGAAGAGAAAAGGGATACTTACCCTTTTCACTCACTCAGTTTTTCTGAGCCTGGGTTTTCTTTTTTTAAAAAAAAATCTGCTATTGGGTGTTTCTGCTTGCTGGAAGGAGGAAGAGAGAGAGAGAGAGAGAGAAATAGGGAAAGTGAGACATCAAACCTCCCCACCCCAGGGGTGATGGCCATGCTGCAATCCCTTCTCCTTCATTCTCCTCTGGGGATTTTTGTGCCTGCACACACATGCACCTGGTATGATTTTCAAGCTGCCAGGTCTGGACTTGAAAGTGATGTAGGGGCAGCCATCACAACTTCATAAAGATGTGACCGCTACAATCCTTGAGAGCTCCTAAGAGGTGGAAACCCCATTGTGAATCCTGTTCTGTGGTCAATGGGCAGTGAAAGGAGGCTGAGTAGTAAGTGCCCAGTACATTAAATATATATATATATAAACAAATATTTATATATTTAATTATGATTAATAATTGTGATGTCATTTCAGATGAGATAGTTGTGTTCGCAGAGGTTAAGCAGTTCAAGTAGTAATTTATTATATGTAAAATTTATCATTTTTTTTTCATCTAGATGACAGAAACAGGAATGTATACGTACAAATATGAAATCCTAACATTTAAATTCAACTATAAGAACAGTCTTTTATTTTCTAATTTTATGATATCTAGAGATTTAAAAATGGGAGAAAAAGAGGAGACAGAGACATTGTCTTTAAGAACAAAGTTCTGAGCAAACTGTATTGGTTTATTTACAATTGTAATTTATAAACAGTAACACAAACATCTTTACATTAATATTATGAAAAAAGTCTCATGGCTGAAATGGGTGAAAAATGAGACTTCAGGACATTTCTAAAGGGGATGCTGAGAAAAGGGAAAAAAATTCAATACGACAATTTTAGAGGAGAGTTATAAATACCAAGTACTGCACCAAGTGCAATTTCATGCAAATGTCTTCAACCACTCAAACTGCTTTTAGATATTAGAATAAAATTTCATGAATTATGTTCCTTTAAATCGCTTGATTTCCATTATATAAATTAAAGTGACGGGCTGTTAACTGGATGCATCAATATTTTTATCAACCCTTGAGAGATAATCCATCACACTGCAGGACACAGCAGACTGTGAGTATGCTACTTTCCAAACAGATTTTTACAAAGTCATTCGAGTCCTTAATATGCTCCTGGATTTCTCTTACCAACTAGGCCTAATTTGGACCTCAATAAATTAAATTGAGAAAGACACACAAAAAAGATCGCTTTCAGTTTTTTCATATTTAAAAATGAAAAATAATTTTCAAGCCACCAGAACTTTAATGAGAGGACAAAACCAAAGAGAAAGAAATTTCAGAAAGTGATGATAACAACAGTTGTAGGGGATCAATAGCTCTTTAAATATTAGCTTTTATTTAAGTGGATATTAGTGTGGTCACAGATCAAGATCTCAGTGAGGATAAATCGACTTGTGCTAAAAACTTTTTGAAATATCCTACATCAAGTAATTCACCTGTAAAATAAATACCAATGATACTTTTACAGATATGATTCTGTCCCCAAAATGTTAATTTTAATCTTAACATGCCTACCTACTTATTGTAATGCTTTTAACTGCTTCTTAGAAACCATTAAGATGAAGTTTAGTATTTCTGAAGCAATTAGTGTCTAAATAATTAGCCAAAGGAGCAAAGATGATTAGAAATAGGTTTCAACATTCAATTTTCAACAAAATCAACTGTATTTTGAGTTGGGTGAAATTTTCATCCAGTTCATTAGAAGATTTCACTGTTTATAATAAGAACAGAAACAGTGAGCTAATTATTAACCTATGTTTTCACTTTCTGGTAACTGCTCAGTGGGTAAAACTAAATGTGGCAATTAAGGAAGTCTCTAACAAATTCTCTCTAATTTTCAGTGAAGACTTTGCAAATACATATGTGTAAGGTTGTTTGAAACCTGAAAATGATGCATGTTCCCTTAAAACAGCTCTTCAAAACAGAACCGCATTCTGCACCCTTAGTCCACAAGGGCACGGGGTCAGTTACTTCAGAGTCACTGAATAACCGACCTTCATAATAAATCATTTTATAAAACCGAAAATGCAAAAAGAAAATTAAAAAAAGTATAGCTGTCCAGAGATTGATTATAATAATTTACACTTTCTTAGACCTGTTATTCAAGCGCCCCCCTGAGTCAATGACAGGGCTCCAGTTAGTATTCAGTCAGAAAATATATGTCCATGTTTCTCTTGGTTGCCTTAATTTCTTATTAAATAATTTTCTTCTATATTAACTTTCCAAAGCATCCAAAACTTTCATGATCTGTTGTTTTATTGCTTTGGTGGCATCCCCTGCATTTGGAATCAAGTACCTATGGGAAAAAATATGTATTAGTTTTTATTAATACAAGATCCTCACAGTAATGAAGTTGAGATGTTACCTCTAATAGGAAGCATTCTCTAATGGACAAAACCAGCAGAGACTCCCTCCTATGTACTCTCCATACCTTATTTCAAGATGTACTCAAAGGTTATCTTGAAAGAAAGAAAATTTAAATGTAAAAGTAGTGGTTTTTCATGTAGTGTAGAGCTAGAATTCTCTAAATATTATTAAGTATAAACATAACTGCTAGACAGTAAAACACAAGATAAAAAATATAATACCCTGGTGCATGACACTAATCAGCTACAAAGTTACATAATGATGGCATCTAATTACAAAAATGATGACAAGTCCAATGCTTAATACTTCGACCTTGAGTGAATAATTTTAGGTTTGGATTCCTATACATAAAACGGGAATAGTTATCCCAATTTTACAGAGAATTGTGTACATTAAATACTGTTATAGGATCTGAAATGTTTAAAAAAAAAAACAAAACCCAGGGCAACCCATTTTCCGGGACCCCTTCCTTCTTGGGAGCTCTGTTTTTCCTTCCCTCTCCTTTAATAAATCCCCACTTAGCTGCTATACCTTAAAAAAATAAAACACAAAAAAACACAAAGTTTAAAAAAAATGAACAAACAAAAAAACAAAACACCAAAGTGTGTGTGGTAATTATTACAAAGTAACACCATAGATTAAATATCCACTTTATCCAGGAACATAAAAATATTACCTTTTTTGGGGGGGAGGGGGGTCAGCAGTTGGTGTAATGGCTACGTTGCTGGACTTCCATGTAGTCCACTGGGAGTGTGTGCATGGGTGCCTGGGACCCGGAGAGGAGAATGGAGGAGAAGGGATTGTGGGGTGATTTCTCGCTTTCTGTCTTTCTCTGTCTTTCTGACGAGCGTGCACACCCTGTAGAAGAATCTCTCTCTCTCAAAAAAAGAAAATACTGTTTGGTTTTTTTTAAAAAAAAAACTTCTATAAAACCTAACAAAAGGTTCCACTGTGTAATCACCTGTGTTTATATGCAAGGCAATATAGAGAACTGTAAGTATCTAAGAAGTGAGGAAGATACAGGTAATTTATTTTCATTCAGCTTTTATTGGGTTGTTGGGAAAGTCAAGACACATTTTTACACAGAAAAACACAGAAAAAGACACAGGACTTTTCTAACAACCCAATATGACAAGCTCCTAAAACTTGAATGAAAACAAGTATTGTCCTGTATACAACAAACTTAAATTTCTTTAGTAAAATTTATGGAAAAATCTTTTTTTAGGTTTTTGCCATAGGGCATGTGCTTGGGCCGGAGAGAGACATAGATAAAGTAAGAAATCACTCCTCAGAAGAGAAGGTCACACCTAAATCCCTGTTCTTCCATTCTCCTCCTGGGATTTTGGGCATGCACACACACACACACGCCTGCTGTGATTTTCAAGCCCCTGTGTCCAGGACTCCAACTGCAGTCAGCTATGTGGGTGTCTAACACCCTCACAACTATGCCACTCACTGGCAGGAAAATCTTTCTTTTTTTTTAAAGAGACATTTTTGATATAGGGTGCGTGCACTCATTGGAGAGACAGGGAGACAAAGACAGAAAGCGAGAAATCACCACCTTTGGGGGATGGCCATGTCACAATACTTCTCCTTCATTCTCCTCTCAGGATTCTGTTTATGCATGCACACATACTAGGGGTGTTTCAAGTTGCCAGGTATGGGCCTTGAACAACAGTCGGCTACGTGGGAGTCCACAACTTAACCATTATGCCATCTGCTGGTCCTATGAAAAATCTTTAAAATGTAATTCTCAACTATTACCATATATGAGAGAGAGTCACAAATCAAATGTCCTTTGATTACAATTAATTTGTAAGTAGATTATTCAAATGTGTTATAACCTCTGACCTACTGAATCCACATGTACACATTTATCACAGGAAGACTAACTGGGAAAGGTTTTGCATATGGGTTTTTATAAAGGTCCACTGAAAGAATGTTAATAGTGAAACACTGAAAACAATCTAAATGTCATTCAACAGGGACTAGTTAAATCAGTCCCGACAATATCTACATAAAAGAATATCTACTGTTAAAAAGTTAAGAACTGATATTTGTAAAATGTAAATACACTCACACTATATACTAAGTTTTTTTTTTTTTAAATTAGGATTTTAAAAATACCTGTAACACATTTACCTAGTTTTCAATGTATGCATAGAAAGATATTTGAAAAATTATTCACCAAAGTGTTAATAGGGTGGGATTTGGGTAACATATTCTTTATATTTTCTTCTATTATTTGAATATTTTCCCAAGGTGAATACACATTTATGAACATACCTAATCCCCAAATCTAAAACCCAAAATGCTCCAAAATTCAAAATTTTTTGAGCCAATGTGACACCACAAGTGGAAAATTCCACACTTGTGATCTCAGGTGGTGGGCCACAGTCAAAAATGTGGCAATAGGGGCCAGCAGGTGGCGTGGTGGTTAAGAACACTGGACTCCCACAGGGCTGACTGTGGTTCAAGTCTTGGACCTGGTGGCTTGGTTTCTCACTTTTCCTCTCTCTCTCTCTCTCTCTCTCTCACTCTGACCCTCTCTGGTCAAATTAGAAATAAATAAAGTTGAAAAAAATAATTCTTTAAAAAAGTGCTGTAATACAAAAATATTATATAAAATTATCTTTAAACTGGGTCATAATCAAAATCCTGTAACACAAAATATTATATAAAGTTATCTTCAGACTATGTATATAAGGAATGTATGAAATATAAATGAATTTCATGTTGAGACATGGGTCCTATCCCCAAGATATATCATTATGTATAAGCTGATATTTCGAAATCTGAAAAAATTCAGTTTCTGAAACATTTCTAATCCCAAGGATTGCAAATGAGGGATGCTCAATCTGTATTACATGAAATAATAAAGCAAGTTTTATTTTTAAGAAGGAGCGGGAACCAGCAGTTAGTGTAATGGCTATGTTGCTGGATTCCCACGTAGCCGACTGCGGTTCGTGTTCCGGACCTGGTGGCTTAAAACTCACACCGGGCGCGTGTACGTGCGTGCCCAAGATCCCAAGAGGAGAATGGAGAAGGGACTGCGGCGTGACCATCCCCCCTGGGGGGGTGATTTCTCGCTTTCTCTCTCTCTGTCTCTCTCTGTCTGTCTGGCGAGCACACGTGCCCTATAGCGAAAACGTCTCAAAAAAAAAAAAAAAGGAGCTATTACTTTCTTTTATTCAGGTACATATAACGGTAGAGATTCATGACATTTGCTACCTGACAGGTACAGGTGAAAAAAGCTGAATTAATCTGTTCTTCCAATTGAAGTTCACTATGTGAAAGTGCATATATAACTACCTTAAGCTTACTATTTATTCAAGTGCTCCTGCAAATAAATAATAAGTGCAATGCCAAATCTCATGAGATGAACAACCTGACTAAACCAGGTCATTTCTGATAAGGAGAGCTGTTTGGTCCTATCACAAGCAAGGGGTCAAGATCTGGGCAGTCATCGGTCCCTTTGGCCTTCACATTTTTTTGTGTGTGGGGGAAGGAGCTTCACCTTTTTATTTATAGAGTAAAGAGGGTTTGGTATCAAGATCAGTGTAGTCTGCAGGTCCTGTGCTACTTTGTGAACTGTTTGTTACTGGTCCACAGGAAGATTAGGAGGGGCTTGTACTAGACTGTAAATTAACTACATCACCCAGCACAGTGCTACAGTGCTTAATTCACTGACAGTGTGCCAAAACAAAGATTTTTTAAAAATAATTTTTAAATTTAACTGTATTTATTATTATTATTATTATTACTATTTTCCAGTTTGATCAGAGAGAAAGTGAGAAAGCAAGGCACCAGGCCCAGGACTCGAACCATGGTTGGCCATGTGGAAATCCAGTGCCCTTAACCACCACGCCACCTGCCATCCACAAAACAATCATTTTTTAAGGAAAGAAAAAATGATTGACTTACAGTAATTCTGAGATAAGTTTCTTATATTATTACAAAGCAGCATGTAGTTTTGCATTGGTATAAATTATTCTTAAGGACCCTTGGGGTCGAAAAGTTTATGAAATTAGCTATAGCACTTACTAAAATCATATGGTTAAACCCCACAGGACCAAGAACTAGAGAGAAAAAGACAGCAAAGAATACTAATAAAAGTGGTTCAATTATTCTATTTTACCATCAGTCCCCACAATATAGAAATAACTCTACTTAACAATGAACTGTAATAATTTGGATAATATATAATCCCATGAAAAAATCTTACCTTTCAATTGCCAAGATTTCTATTCCTGAAGGATTGCTGTTTCCATACTTGAAGGTAATTAGCTCAGGATGTTTTTTTTTGGATGTAATTTTAACTACAGAATTTAGTGCTTGTCGAGACTGTATATAAGCCAATCCTTTCCGTGAAAGAATCTCTCTTAAACAGTACATATGTGTTGCAGTAACCAACAGATGACTTGAGAAAAAAAAAAAGCATTAAAAGAAAAATTTTAAACAGATGTTGTTTCAACAGCTACAAGTATCAAAAATATTAAACTCTACATGAAGTTACTTTTGAGTTAAAAAATATAAACAGAAGATCTATAGAGAAATAAGCTACATAATAGAAGCTTTTCATTTTCCTTTATACATACAAAATGTTTTATTAATAGGTAATTTTGAAACTATTTAGGATAAAATGAATATTTTAAAATAAAAAGTTCAAAATAAAGAAATTACTAAAATATTAATTTGGAGTTTTGTCTGAAATGAAATATACCACATTTCAGACTTTTAACAGTATTATCTACATCCATAAACTATACTCATCCAACACAACACAGCCTACAACTAATATCAAACATCACTAGGCAATAGTTGGGTTTCCTTACATATTTTTCTAATATTCTGTAACTGGATCCTGAAGGCAAAATGAGCACAGAATTATTAACACCTCCTACCTTGTATCTCAGTTAACTATTATTACGGTATTAATATTCTTACATTTTTCTGACATAGTAAGACAAATATCAGATAAGTGAAATGTAGAATGTTCTGCAGACAACTGGCTTGGACTCAAAGGATGCACATCACAAGCACACACCATTAGGGGACCGAGTGAGTAGTGCTGTGCTCTGGGTGAGCTAAAGAGACTAGACGGACAAGTGCCATGTGTGAACCACGACTTGATCCTGGACCAGGATGCAAAAAGACTATCAGAGATACTCTGGGGATCTGAAAATGTTGAGTATAGTCTAAATGTTGAACAATGTTGACTAAAACCAAGTTTTTAGGTTGGGTCATTACACTGGAGTTGTTTAGAATGATCATATTCTTGGGAGATATATGCTGAAGCATGATGGGTAAAGTGTCACATCTATAAGCTTTCTTTTGAATGGTTTTACAAAAGAGAAATGTATGTGTAATGTGTGAATGTATATGCATACATAGACAGATGGGGTGGTATAAAAAGACGTCAATAGCTGGTGCATCTGAAAGAGGATTATAAAGGTGCTCAATGTACTAGCCATCAACATTTTAAAAATTTTTCATAATAAAAAGTACATAAGCACTGTAGTAAGTACATAAGTAATATTTTTTAAATTGTGACATATAATACAAGCTGACAGAAAGAAATTATCTTATTGCACATGGATAAATAAAAGTTCCTCTACAGTTCAGTTTCATTTCATTAACTTTCTAAAATTCATTTTACTTCTTAAGAAGTACCTAGGAAACATGTGTCCACTTTCTTTCACTTCTTTACAAGGAAAATGATGCTTGACATCTGGCTTGTTTATCCAAGTCTGAATGTTTACAACCTCTTTTCTATCATCATCTGACATTGAAGAACTGTCAATTTCATCTATAAAGAATTAAAAGTGTTAAAAGTTATTACCAACTTTAAAAATGATACATTTCTTTTAAAAAAAAGAATTATTTGCTTATTTAATTTATTTGTTGTTGTTATTATTATTTTTTAATTGGACTGGAGAGAGACAGCAAGAGAGAAAGGGAAACTGAGAAGGTAGGTCACCAGGTCCAGAACTCAAACCACAGTTGGCCATGTAGGAGGCCAGAGCCTTAGCCACCGACACTACCTGCCAGCCCCAAAAGATACATTTCTTAATAATGTAAAAAAAAGATTCAGTAACATTTTGTACAGGTTAAAAAAAATTTCTAATCTTGTTATCATATTTCCCTATGCCACTGATACAAATACAGAAATATTAATATGGTAAGAATTTATATTAAGAATATACTTTTAAAGATTAAACCATTTGGAGAATTTCAAATTTTTTTGATATAGGTAATATAACTATGATCTGAGAAGTCTGCAGATTTAGAAATGGCTGAAATATCCCTCAAGATAAGACAGAGAAGGCAGAGATCTTTTTCTCTTGCTGGCTTCTGATTTAAAGGAAAATAACAATAAAATCAGTCCTAGAATAAAGTAAAAATCTAATTGTTTTTTTTTCCTGAGAGAACTATAAAACATTCTAATCATCTTGTTTCCAGTTTAAGAAAGGAGAATTACATTCCCCAGAGTTAATAATTATAAATGCTCCTCCCTCTGCTTTTTAATATACTTCAAAATACTGAGACGTAATGAAAAATGAAATCTCATGTTATCTATATTCCAGTTTAAATAAAAGTGAAACCTTCACATATCTCTCCCAGTCACATTCATTTCCCACCAAGTTGTGACTACCTGAAATTGGTGTTATTGGTTACACACACACCTTTAACCATGTATGAACACAGCTACATAATATACAGTGAGTGGTGTTCCACAGTTTAAATAAAATGCATATAAAGCAGACTACTCAACTGCATTCTTCTGCAACTGCTACCCTATTTCCAAAATTGTGAAATGTATGCATGTGGATACACGTAGTTCTAGTTTTCTCAATTTCATTACTAAGTTTCTTTAGTGTGTATGTATATGTTCATCATATGTATTGGGTTGTCAGAAAAGTCATGATGTAATCTTCTATGCAAAAATGTGTCATGCTTTTCTGACAACCCGGTATGTTCACATATATGCATACATGCACCACGATTTATTCATCCATTCACCTCTTCCCTTTGTAAATGGAAGGAAATAATCAGGGAGAGACAGAGACTGATAGGAAACAGGAAGACAGAGACAGAGGGGAAGACAAGGAGAAAAAAAATTAGAAATAGCACATTTACTTCAATTTAAGTTTTCTGGAGCGTGATTTTCTAATATATATTAAAATATCAAATATGATTCCCTATAATCTAGCAACTTTTCCTTTTTTCAATTGCCAGGGGGCATGTGATTGAGGACTAGGGATAAGTATGCACACATACCTACCACATTTTTCAAACCATGGGGCCAGGATTCAAACCCTAAATTGCCATGTGGGATTTAGCTCCCTTAACCATTAGGCTATGTGGCTAGTTCTAATTAGTGCAGGTGGTTACTACTGAGAAATTACTCTCTGGAAAGTCTTTCAAAAATTCACCTTGATACACAGTTAAAAATGTCCACTGTTGTTTCAAAAAAATGAAAAAACACTGGAAAACCACCATGGTCACAATTGCAAAAAAACTGCTTAAACAAATTATGGTATATTCATATGATCGAAGAATAAGGAGGTCTATGGGCTGAAATAAAAATACACAACATATTTTAATAAATGGAAAAAAGCACGGTGTGATTTAGGAGTCTTGTTTGTTTTGTACATTTATATACTGTTTTTTCCCAACTTAGTACAAATATTAATCAATATTAACGATTACTTAATCAGAATAATCTGGGCAGAGGGATTATAAATCAAAGCAAGAAATTACTTTTTTAAATACAATGAAAGCCTACCACACAGAAGATAATTTCCCCAACACAATATCCCCACCTTGTGGCCCTTTAGAATACTGCCTCCAATTGGCTCTCTTCACATGTCTCAAATGTGGAATTCTCTGAACTTCAATCCCTCAACTCTCAATTCTCTATGTGGGTAAGCAAAGGAATTTACATCCAATTGCATGGGTTTAAAATACTATTTCTAAACTGATAACCTTCAAATTACCATCAGGTGAGATTTCTCTCTTCAGTTGAAGTATCCAATAATTGATTGTTTATTCAACATTTCTGCTTAGATTTCTAATAGGCACACTTCAAGATGCCTAATACCAAACACTTAATAGAACACCAGAATTCCTAATTCTCTCTGCAGAATCTCACTCTGGGTGTGAATGCGTAAGTGCTTGTTGGTTAGCCCAAAGAACCTCTGTAATCTGATCATGCCTGGACTTCAGGGAACACTCTTTAAGTGTGTTACCACACCTGTGTCGTACTCTTCTTCATCCCCAATGCTGAAAACAGGCTTCACCCCACGGTAAGGCTTGCCCACTCTGTCACTGCTGCTCACATGCCTATATTTGAAGAATTTAAGGGGGAAAATTATCATTTAAGAAGCTGCCAAAGATTTTAGCCAAGCATTATTTAAATATTTAAACAAATATAAACGTTTCTTTGCTCCCCCAGTTACCACCATAGTTTTAGACTAGCTATGATAAAAAAAAAAAAAAATGGAAAGGTAAAGAAATTGTCAGGAAAAGTGGCCTAAGAACTTGGTAAGCTAAATGTCCTCAAATCTGTATAAATTAAGTTCTAAACAATTTCTATTTTTATATTAAAACCAATGCTGAAATCTATTTGGCCTTAGGGTAGTTACTTAACCTCCCTGCGCCTACTTCCTCATCAGTAAGTACTATATACTTCTTTCACATATGTAGTAAGTGCTATGTACATGTTTCTTAGACAAACTAGGCTTTGGAACCAAGTATTAAAATTTCAATTAAGAGTACATCTCACATAAGCACAAATGCCTAAGGTTTTTCCACCCATGTTTTTGTTACCATTATTTTTTTTTTTTTTTTTAGGTTTTTGCCATAGGGTACGTGCACTTGCCAGAGAAATACAGAGAGAGACAAAGTGAGAAATCACCCCCCCAGGGGAATAGGCATGCTGCAATCCCTTCTCCTCCTGGAATTATGGGCATGCATGCACATGTGCCTAGTATGAGTTTCAAGCAGCTGGGTCCAAGAGTTGAACTATGGTCAGCCATATGGGAGTCCAGCACCTTAACCACCATGCCAACTACTGGCCCTGCCATTACTGAAATGACCAGAGAAAGAGTAAACTCCATTATTATTAAACTCCATTTTTCCAACTTAATTCAAAATATGACTAGAATTTCTTTTTAATGTTCACTGGTACTATATAGTGAATATTCTAATTTAAATTGCAGAAAAATTCTGAATATAAAGACTATAAAACGAGGGTTGGCAGGCAGCATGGTGGTTGAGGTGCGGACTCCCACACATGGCCATCTGCAGTCAGAGTTCCAGACCTGGAGGCTTGCTTTCTCTCTCTCTCTCTCACTCTTTATCTATCTCTGGTCAAAATAAAAAACAATAATAATAATAAAATTAAAATAATTCTTTACCATACTAATTTATTAAGTAATTAAAGTTCTTCTGCTTATCCTAATTGAAGGTCCAGTAGATCATTAAACCTTAAAACTAGGAATCATTTTTTTCTTTAAGCTTATTTGAGAGAGTAAGAGGGAA